CACGTTGGAGCAGTTTGTGAAGAACTGAACCTGTGGGAGGATTCAGCTGGAGAAGTCATGGAGGACTGTTTCCCATGAGAGGGACTCCACATTGGAGCAGGGGAAACGTGTGAGGAGTCCTCCCCCTGAGGAGGAAGGAGTGGCAGAAAACAACAGTGTGATGAACTGACCACAACCTCCGTTCCCTGTTCCCCCCCTGTGCCACTTGGGGTGGAGGAGGGAGAGAAATTGGGATCAAAGTTAAGCCTGGGAAAGAAGGGAGGGGTGGGGGGGAGGTGTTTTAAGATTTGGTTTTATTTCTCATTACTCCTCTCTGAGTTAATTGGTAATAAATTACATTTTCCTGAAGTTGAGCCTGTTTTGCCCGTAACGGTAAATGTTGAGTGATCTCGCTGTCCTTATCTCAACTCCACAAGCCTGTGGTTATGTTGGTTTTTTCTCTCCCCTGCCCAGTTGAGGAGGGGGAGTGATAGAGTGGCTTTGGTGGGCACCTGGCATTTGGCCAGGGTCAACCCACCTCAAAGGACCAGATTACCTTAGTGCTATGACCTGAGCATTCACCATAGTTCAACAGTTCTACAGGTTGGGTTGCTCACAAAGAATTTATCACTGACAGTGAAGAGAGAGACCCTGTGTTATCCTCACCTCAATTATGAAATAAAGAGGAAAAATAGGTATTAATAAATAATGATTTCCAACAGTTTTATACCACCTCTTAACATTTTACAGTTCAGCTCCTGAAGACGGATATAACTATGATGACTACAAGTTATATATTGCTTTGAAGATCTTTAATGCTGTAGGAAAATTTTGCACTATGAGTTAGATTTGTCCTTAAGCATTCATGAACGGTGATGTCCTGGTCAGCTAATGCAAGATCTATACTGTTTTCCAACAGCTGCAGAGGGCTACACTAAAAGAATATACTTAATGAATATACAGGGATGGTGAAATGCAAATAGGAAATGGACTTCATTAATTATGTCAGTAAGGTGGAAGAAAAAAAAATAGACTGTCACATTTAGAGCTTAAATTCTTTCCATTATTTTAAGCTTCCCTTTTGGAGAGTATTTCTTGCTGGAGGTTGAACCTTATTCAAAGAAAACTCAGAGGCATCTTCCTGGAATTTAAGGCCATTAAGTATTTGGCTGAATACAAATATTTGGAAGAAATGGGTCTTTAGAGGCCAACAGTATGAGGGTGTGATTCATTGATCTAGTGAGGTCAATGAACAAGCTCCTGACAGATGTCGTTCGGCATTAGACCAATGCCTAGACTTCTAAGATTTTGAATATATTATACATGCATATTTCTATGTGTGTGTCTTGTTTTGTGTATATGTGTAATCTGATCGGTGTCTAGATCTGCCAAACTTCTAATTTTAGCTTTCTTTTCACATTTCTGGGGCTAATTTCACTTTTGACAGGGTCTCTGAATGCATCGCACTTGAGATGTGGGTCACTTCTTACAGGGATGGTCAGTGGAAATCACAGCTCTTTCTTGCTCAGAGTAGGCTTTGGACCTTATAATCCTTAAGGTTAATTGCTGTTACCTCCAGACAGACAGACAGATAATTCCCTGTCATTTGGTTCACTCTGGAAACATCAGCATCCACTAACTAGGTAAATTAAGCCATATTAGCCTACTTCAGAGGATCTAGAGTTTTAAAGAGTAAAGAGCACAAGACAGCTTTCTTGCTCGAAAGCTTAGGAAAGCAAGAAGAGGCCAGGACTGCCTCAAATGCTCTCACGGAGCTCTTTCAGGCTCCTGTTTCACGTTGCTCTTCCCAAAGAAAGTTTCTGTACGGTTCCTCTCATCCTTTTACCCACTTAAACTACATCTACATCACTAAATAAAAAAGGTCTGGGAAAGAAGCTTGTGTGACAGCCTTGATCATCCATATTGCTTAATTGTTAGCTCACTTCCCAGCCTTGTTTTGGGCCATGGCAGTTACTGCTTTCCCAGTGAAAACCTGGGTGTGACTCAGGGAGAAGTTTGCTTTATGCACTGTTAGCAGGAGGCAGTACAGGTGGGGCTGCACCATCTGGCTCCTTCTGCCCTCCAGAGAGCCCCATCCCACTCACAGTAAGCTTTTCACTTCTGAATCCCCTGGTCTGTCCTTACGCTGCCTCCCAGGACATGCTTTCATGCTACAAGAATGCCATTCTCTGGGCTGCAGCGTCAGCGTGTGCTGCGTGGCAGAGCTGCAGCCAGTTCCTACAGGAGCGGTCGGCACTGTCAGACAGCATCAACGTGTGGCTGGTCTGGCAGTGAGGATGGACTTGGTCTCTTTGGTCTCCGAGTTCCCTGGGTAGGTGGAGAGGGAGAATAATCTAAAGGGAAGCGTTGTCTTTTCCTAGGAAGTGCCTTCTCGTTAAGAACAGAGACCATGCTTCCTGGAAAATATACGTTTGTCTCTGACTTTTAGGAAAACAATTAGATTACTTCAGATTGAAACACTGTCTTGACTTCATACGGTTCAGTCATCTTTTTTATAATAACTGAGAAAAGTCTGTGGAGAAACGTCTAGGCAGTTCAGTCATGCTGCTTTATGAAGGAAGCTGTAGAGATTCCCAGGCTTTATGCTGAGTAAGCAAACTTCAGAAATAGCACACTACAGTGTGTTTGCCCAGGGGCAGCACTAACTAGACACCTAGAGCTTTCAGTCCGTGGGCTTGTGTATCCGTGTAGCACTGCTCAGTGTTGTATGCTGGAGAACTTTGTCATGCCACATTGACAAACTCATTTGCTTGCTTTCCTGATTCCGTTGGTTCCATTTAATTTGGGAAAATCTAGGCAGCCTGATGCATCCACAAATTGAATATATAAAAACCTACAAAAGTCCTATACAATACTCATGACATTATTACACGTTGACATTCTCACATTGTCCCATACTAGCTGTATCTTGTCACATACCAGAATCCTTGCACTTGTGGTGATCTAATAACTCACAAATGGGATGCGTTTAGCCTTCCAGAACTATTTGCAAATTCAGAAAGAGTGGCTTCATTTGCTGCATTTAAAACTTTCATGGGAAGGCCTCCATGTCAACAAATAGCAATTCACTGCAGAATATTTGGAAACATATGAACTAATTTTTCCTAGACAGGAATCTACTTTTTCCTTTGAAGCTTTGAGGTGGTTTAGTTCACTTTCCCAAAGAGAAAATTAAATAAATAGTAACTAGACATGATAATCCTTCCAGTTTCTCGGTTTTGAATCCATGAAATATGAGTACTAGTTTTTATTTATATATGTATTATGATTATCGGTGCAACTTCAAAATCTTCTCTCTTGGAAGATTGACCTGGATTTTTCAAGAACCCTAAAAACATTATGAAGACAGTTCACATTATTTCTATTCTTACAGTTCATGAAGATTTTATTTGTAATTTGTCATTCCCCTCACTTTCAGCGCTTCTAGTAGTGTTTTTGGCTCTGCAGTGCGATCCTGTTGTGCCAGTGTAGAGACCTTCTTATATCAATGGGCCTCCAGCAAGAACCATCATCAGGCCTCATGGCAAGGCAGGGCTCTCTGTGTTTAATGGTTATACAGGATGTTTTTGCAGGTGGATCAAATTCATCTTGAGTATTTGCATAATAAGTAGAAGCTTTTTACATCAGTCAAGATGTTTTTGAGATAGTTTCAAAGAGCAAGCAGGGCTATGGGCTACAAAAAGTCAAATGCATAGTTGGAAAATTTTACTTTTTCATACTTTTTCAGGTGGATTGTTTTTGTTAGTGTCTGCCTTTAGTGGATATTGCTTTATGTAAGACCTAGCCTTCGTACAGTTGACAACTAGCCCAAGTTACACTCAGACTAGTAAATGCTTTTTCTTTCCTCCACAGACAGTAGTTCCTACTGTGAGTGTAAGAACAGTCTGAAAGGATATTGCATAGAGTGAGGGAATAGAGTAAATTACAGATTAAGAGAAATAATGGCGAAGTGTGGTATGGATATAAATTGAAGTTGGATAATGAGGGCAAAGTGGGTTCTTTTTTTTTTTAGTTAGCCTGGTTAGCTCTTTCTAAAAAGATTTATAAATACAAGTTTGTGCTGAAAACATTAATGTGTATTGAGAATGAATGAAACATAATTGGGCTTTATAATAAGAAAAAAACCTGCATGCAAGTATCTCTGAATATATGTTTAGTATTTGATACCTGCCAAAACTGTCTAACTGGTCTAGAATGTGATAGCATACAATTTTGTGATTTTTAGCCACGTATTTTTGTCCTCTTGGCATTAATACTTGTAATTAAATCTTATATCATTCTACCCTGTTCCTATTCAGCAAACATTCACATTTTTACAGAAAAAAAAATAACAAAGTTAAAAAGTAAAGCCTTTTTGTCAGCTTTCTCTGGTTTCGGTGTTTAGTGTGTAAATATGTAACAGTATTACTTGTTATATTTAAAGAATGAGAGTTTATGAGCAACTGAGAATTATTTCTACAAATCTATAAACTCTAATAATGAATATTAAAGGTTTTTGAAGGCTTTGAAGCAAAATCTGTTTTGTAATGGAAGTTTTAAATACATGTGGAATGAAGACAGGTGGTTCTAATAAGGAGAACATAAATAATAGTTTAGCTCTTTGTATTTTGTTAATCCAATTGTACCTTATTGCTATCATAAGTCCTGTCAAACTGCTGTATTTTGCCTTTTTTATTTTTTTAAAGACACGAATGCACTGGTACTATGTAACTTGTGAGAGCTCAGGATACCAACAAGTTCTCAGAAGTGTTTGGTTGTGATCTTCCAGCAAAAAACCTGTGCAGATCTGAGTGTGGTGAAAATATGGTGTGTTACAGACTGATCTCAAGGATTTGTTTAATACCATAATGAGTTAAAATTACAGGGAGGAGAGCAAAAACTATTGTATCTGCTCAGCTTCAAATATCCTAGGCAGATGATGACCCTTGCTGACAAAACACCTGCCCTGGAGACTCTCAGTGCAGCAGATAGAGAGGGAAGCAGCAGAAGAGGTCATGTAAGCTGGGAGCTAGGCCGTCTTTGGAGAAGGGTTGTGTGGTAGAGTTTGGACTCTGCATGGAAATGCTGGCTTGCTTGCCTTTCTAGTTCCCCTCAAAAGTGTTTACAGGTTTGAGATGTTGCTGCAAAATGCTTAGATTCAATTACAGCAACTTTTTTCAATACAATAGTGTTGTCGAGAAATGTTCACCTATTAAATTTCTTCAGGAAACACCCTCACAATAGATGTTTTTTTAAAAAAGTTTTTTTTGTTTTGCCCCTTTAGAATAAAATTTGGGAATGAAAAATTTTGCTTGTTTCTCAGGGGTACAAGTGTTCTATAACAGTTCCTTACACAAAGGGAGCTCTTCTCCACAAATCTGCGTATCAAATTTGTCTTTCCTTTAAGAACTCATCAGGTTGTCAGTCTGTCTTAAGGTCACGGACTCTCCTCAGTTTTCATGATCCTTATGGGAAATGAGCCCCATGTTTATTGTTTTTGGTATCTACTGTTTCCTTTTTTTTTTTCTTTTAAGAAATATTGTCATCTGTTGTTTTCTAGATTGTTTTTTAACATATTCTTTAATGTCTCCTGCATCGCCATCAGTTTCTTTGATCAGTTTTTAATGATTAAAAAAGCCCAAAAATTGTAATAACTATCAAAAGCTTTAAGCGAGATAGGACTGAAATGCGGTTATTTTACCATCAAATGGTCTTGTGTAGAGTTCTCTTTCTTTTCATTACAGTCCCTGAGCACTTTCTTAGTCACACTCAGTTACCATCTGTTATTCTGCTAATCTGGAGTAATGGCATGGTGGCAAAGCAGAAGCAGAGTTAAAACAACAGATAAAGCAGTTACATTGTAAGAATACACTATGCCCGTATGTGGAGAAGAAAAGCTCAGTGATGCTTCTGATGGTAGAAAACAGTGAGCTGGGCCAGGGCTGCCCAGCAGTCATGTGCAATAGAACCCCAGAGCAGAGAGTCTGTCTAGCCATGTTCAAGTAGCTCATAATCCTGGCTGGACATGAGCTGGCCTGCTCAGATGTCATGGGACAGTTCCCTGCAAGGATAATAAAAATCTGGTGCTTGAAGATAAATCCGACTTCCATGTTAATATGAGTGCAGAAGATATGAGAGAAAGTGATAAATAATCTTTTCTTCTGTTACTTTCAGAGCCAAATTTTGTGTCATCTTATGACATTGGGAACTTTACCTACTTCTTCTTCCGGGAAAATGCGATAGAACATGACTGTGGGAAGACAGTCTTCTCTCGTGCTGCTCGGGTGTGCAAAAATGATATTGGTGGCAAGTTCGTGCTGGAGGATACCTGGACAACCTTTATGAAAGCTAGGCTGAACTGCTCTCGCCCTGGAGAAATTCCATTTTACTATAATGAACTACAGAGCACTTTCTTCCTGCCAGAATTGGACTTGATCTATGGGATTTTTACCACTAATGTGTAAGTAAATTCCACGATATGTTTTATTTTCTTGTTATTTGTGACAGTAAAACTAAAGCTTCTGAGATGCTCTCTTTTGCATATGTCAAGTAAACATCGTAAAATCAAACTACTGTTTTGCCCAATCCACTGTCCTCTTGTGAGCAAGTGTCAGTTCTGAATGCTTCCCACATGAATTGTTGAAGGTATATGAAAGAAGGAAGAATTCTTAATATTTCGTTACAGCAGGGAACTAGTTGTGTTTAAGACTATTCAGTCATCTTTTTCATACATTCTTATAAAGACATTATTCTTTGTTTTGCATGCTATTGTAATACATAAATACATATTTATGACTTTTTAAATAATTGTAAAATGACATGATCATGAATTTGACGTGATGTAATTTGCCCATGTCAGGAAGAGCTCACCTTACCCAGAAGAACACAAGAGGTGTTCTTACGTATTTTAACCCTGTTCCTGCAATGGAATAATGTAGCGAATTAGGGACTTTGGGACTACTAGGGATAAGAAAATTTGATGGTGTTTTCATCAGTAATTTTAATTTCACTGGTCTGTTTTACTAGCTAGCTTGAATCTTAGAAGACAGATATTTCTCAGGTGGCATGCTCATACACTGTTCAACATGAGCTTTCATGAGAAGTCAAAATACCCTTGACACACTCCTGCCACAGAAAGAGTGACTGGAGGAATTCTGTTCCAGAAAATCCACAGAGCTTTGGCCATGGAAGGGGAAAATGCTCCTTTCACAGAATGGCTGTCCTGACAATTGGGGGAATGCTGGAGTTTCCTGTGTTATAAATTCCACAGTTTCTGAGGTTAATTAAGAATATAAGGGCTGCCGTCAGCACACCCTGGTTCTTCTGAAAATGGAATTGCTAGTGTAAGACTACCTTTGCCACAGGACAGTAGACAGTATTTGAAACCTTACTGCTACTTCCTTCTTTCCCAATGGCTCAGCATTCTGCCTTGTCCAACAGAGACTGACTATTCAAAGAGGAATTAATTACAACTGTTTGTGGGTGGGGTTTTTTCATAGCTCCATTTAAATGATATTTGTTCCTGCCATCAATTATTGTAACTAAATTTTTGGACATTGTTGAAGTGTTGTAGAGTTAGGGTTAATTAATGCTCACATATATCTGTGCAGCCCATATGACCCACCTTTCAGCCCTGCACCTCACGGTGGAGAAGCCACAAGGGGGAACAACATACCCCTCTCTGTTGGTGTAACAGCAACAGATATTACTGAACCACATTCAGCATTCTTCAATCTCAATATCTTCAGAATTGCAGTGATTTTATTGTACCCTAATGCTTTTTTTAATATACAGTGAATATACTTTAATATACTTGTGGGGGGTGAAAACAAGCATTTCTGTCAGTAAAGACTGAGTAATAGCAAAACATGCACCCTTTATGTGTCACTGACTGTTAAGTCCACTATAGCCACTGCTTCATAATGAAGCTGATTTTGTTTCTTTCAGACTATCTGAAAATCTATAAGCATGAGTCTAATGTCCTTTAAGGACTCAAGAAATTCAAGAGTACGTTGGTATGGTTAATAATATTAGTGACCTGTATTTAGTCATAGATTGTATAGGCAAGGAGTTATCAAATCCAATTATAATTGATTCTGCAGAAATTGTTAGCATGTAACTTCAAGTTTGGAGGTTTGTTTGAAATAAGAGTATCAAGCATAAGAAAGCAAATTGCTTTTTTTCCTGCTATTAAATCCATGTATACTGTTTTTTTTTTTTCAGTTGGTAGATTTGATCCCCTGGGGTTATTTTTTCTTTCCATATTCTATCCAAAACTTCCATTTTGGAGTTTCTATAGTAGGCTTTCTTAAGCCTTGTGTAAATTACAGGCTAAGTTTAAAAAAAGGAAAAAAAAGAAAAAAGGAAAAAGGATGCTGTATGGATCAATTGTCAGCAGTTTTACCTGCAGTGGAAATTTGTGCAGCTGCCACCTTCATTATCTATCTCTTTATCTCAAATTGTGGAAAAGAACAATGCATTTTTCCATGTTATGAGCTCTCATAGTCACTGGATTATATTCTTTACACTGTGCAGAATTACTTTATTGTCATGTATATCACATTTTCAAGACAAGAACTGGAAATTGTATGTTTTGCCTGGCTGCTGTTTATTTCTGTTTATTGCTCTAACAGACTATCTTGTAAAGTATTCAGTCCAAGTTGTTTTCTCTTGATGGGTTTCTGGAATTTTCATTCTAATTGCTGTACAACATCTCTTAGAAGACAGAGTTTTTGTGGAGGTGTCTTACCAAGGTGTTCCATAGGGTCTAGAGACATACCATGCATTCAAAATCCTTACTGCTGTTGTGCTGCCATTGGTTGTATAGAAGAAACGTTAATGAGCCCTGAGAATAATCTCATCCCGAACTTTGTGACTAGAAGACAGGTGTCCCTAATGCTTGTGATTATATGTGGAAGTGTAACCTTGTGGTATTACAGCAGCAGCAGAAGGTAGGAAGTTCTGAGTTTCTCCCACACTAGCTACTTGGCAAGGCTGACAAAAATTTTAAATCCAATGTCTGTGCCTAAATCAGCACAAAATAATTTATTATCTTGAGATATCATCTCCTGGCTGATCATATCTGCTTTGTGAATTACTTGAAGGATTGGAGAGTTATTGCCTTTTTTTATTTATTTTTGAGCAAATGAGGTTCTTAATGCTGTTACTTAGGTTAATGTTTGTATTTCTTTTGCAGGAACAGCATAGCAGCCTCAGCAGTTTGTGTTTTCAACCTGAGTGCCATAACTCAGGCCTTTAATGGACCCTTCAAATACCAGGAAAACTCTCGCTCTGCTTGGCTTCCATATCCCAATCCTAACCCTAATTTTCAGGTACAGATACATGGGAGAAGGACAATAGTTTACGTGAGGTTTTTTCAAAGTTCTGTATGGTTCATAGTTAATGAGTCTAATTTTGCAGTATGTTATAGCCGAAGACCTTAAAAAAATTACCAAAAAAAAAAAAAAAAAGTCTTAAGAGGTCCCCTTATTTCAGCATACTTAATTTTATCCTTCCAAAAAATAATTTGGGTTGAAAAGCACATGTGCTTTGAAGGGTAGGAATAAAAAAAGGCTTAACTTCAATCTTCTGTCAAAATGAAACACTATAGTTATCTGTGAAGGTAACATAATTCCTGACAGAAGTATAATCAACCCGCTATTCTCTTTTATGTTGTATTTGTGCTATTAGAACCTGAAAAGGGAGCATTGTCCGACAGAAAAAAGGAAGTGGGGGCGAGGGGGATAAAATAGGAGTGGTCAGGATTTTGTATATTTTCCTGTGCAAGGTTGTCCACACTCCCTGAAGAGTCTGATTAAAAGAATTTGTAGCATGGTGTGCCCCTCATTTGAACCTGTCAGCCTCAGAGGGTATAATAATCTGCAATTGGCTGACAGTGTAAAGCTAATTAGTCCAAGGAGGGTGACTCAGTACAGCTTTCTAAAAAGGAAAAGGCTATAGCAGGTAAGCACATGCACATTGTCTTCTTCTGCATAGTCACCACTCCTACTAAGACAATTTTAGCGAGTGTGATTCTGGCAAGGGAAATGGAAGGGAAGACAGCATTGATTTAGTGATTAACAACAATTGCTTTTCGCCAAGATACCTGAGTGTATTCACTGCTATCCACCTTTCACCTTCCCTTAATCTCGATGCAATTTCAGGAGTTCAGTGCTGCTCCTATAACAACCTTCCCTGTCTTCCTGCAAGAGTCATGAGATCTTTGTAAGCGTGAAACAGAATCACCCCTTGGGCATTGTAGGTAGTTTGAATTACTTCCTGGTTTAGGCAAAGGAAGGAAAATAAGGCACTGCATTTTCTCTGAATTACAGGCCAGAGCCACGTTATCTTTCCTAAACAGTATGTTTGGCATTAGCCCCAAGTGGCAGGACATTTGTATACAGCTTTTAACATATTGTAGAAGTATTTGTATTGTCAAAGTAGTGATAGTAAGAGGGTCTAAGTGAGGCTAAATTTTTGAAGGAGAAAGCCTGAAGAAAGGCTTGTATGTAAAAATCTTAGCTTCTTTCTGACTAGGTGAGCAAGTCCAATAAAAGTCACTAACCTCTCCCTACAAAACATGTATTAATGTGTTGATAATTACTGTGAGAGCACCCCATACAGAATGGTACATACAAAGATGACAGCCTGATGGCTGTGTAAAAATGACTGAAGTCGCTACTGTACTGTTGGCACTTATCTCTAAATCCCAGTCAAGACTGAGGTTTTAAATAAATTTCTTGCTTGGATAATCTGGTTGATTTTAATATGGCTGGTACATCATCCAGTTCACAAGAACAGTGGCAACAGTTGCATCATATCTCATTGACCAACAGCTTTGCAGGCTAGTGCTAGTGTAAAAAGCTGTAACATGGCCTTTTACAGCACAGTATTGAAGCCAATTGACATTGACAGATCTCTAGGTATCGTTAGTGATGTCAAAATTCTGTTTTTTTGCAGGTGCTATCTTATTCTGTTGAACTTTCTGTTAGGTTTTTGTCTCTGTAACTGCAGCAGTGATGTATACTAGGAGATATTCTAATGCTTAGAGCTAGGTGTAACCATTTTTTGTGATGTGATGGTGCTTTAGAGTACATGCTTCACCTAGATGGGATATATTTGTTGGCTGAGTCACTGGTTTCCTTCTCAGAAAGAAGGACTTTTCTTTTGTAGAATCTTTATGGTAAAATATCAGAAGTTCTGTTTGTGTAGTCTCAGAAGTAGACGTATTCTCAGAGTATTCACCTACTCAGCAATAACAGACAGAATTATGTGATTTGAAGGAAGACTACTGCTATGTAGTGATAGTTATATCAGACATTGTATTTCCAGGACCAGATTATATTAATGAAATATTTTCCAGATTAGGGTACTATTGGAGTCCCAGTTTTGAGGAACACTATTTTTCTCCAGAGATTGTTGTGTTTCTCTTTACACAGGACAATTTCCATCATAAGACCAAGGGTCATATATTTCCATGTACTATGAGTGTTCCAGATGGAATCTTTCCTGCTTGATAGAGTCAGAGAAATTCTTTGTCATGATTTATTTTTTTTGCTGGCCTAATATGCAGGGTGCTCACAGAGCAAGTAATTGTTTCCTGCCAGTTGCTTAACTGTCTTTTCTCATCATATGATCTCTTATTATGAAGTTACTTATTTCAGTTTTTCTTAATATCTGTAGATTTGGAATTATCACTTAATTTCAGATTGAAAACATGGTAATAATGACAAAATAACTGGTAGGGTTATGCACACTGTATTATTTTGTTCATACTGTAATTCATTGCATAATTTATAACATAGTAGAATAGAATAAAAAAGTATGACTTAAATATGCCTTTCACATCACCGACATTTGATAAATGTTGTGAAGTATTGCTTTACTTCTCTGATGCAATTATGCATGAGTAAACATGTGGATATTTACATATTCACATGCACTAAGCGGCTTTCTCTTTTGTGTCCTCAGTTAGTTGAAGACTTAAGCGCAAAGATGCTAAAATTAACTGCCGCTTGTTTTGCTTTGTTTATTTGTGGTTAAAATTTGTGTATGCAATTAGTGAATGCTTTCCTGTAAGGAAAGAATATGGTTTTCAGGTATAAAATACGGTCAGTTCCAAAGCAAAAATGTCTGTGCCATGAATAACGTTTTATAGTTGGAGCTCCACACTGTCCATTCTTGTCTAGTAAACACAGGGTCTGGAGAAGCTGCTAGAACTTTGTGTTGTGCTTTCACCTTGGATTTCTGTCAGACCCTGGCTGTGATAGGACATGACATTTCCTCTGAAAATTTGTTACGTCGTTAGCACTCTGTCTGTGTAAATTACAAAGAAAATCAGTCAGAAAATTCTGTCATTTATTGGATGGTAGTTTTTCTCCTTCCTGCCCTGTGAATATAGGACATAGCAAAATATTACTATGGCCCACTTGTGGTGGTCAGTCTGGTGCCCTTCCATATTGTTTAGAGTTAGGAAGCCTCAATAGTAATGCCTCAGGAAAGCAGAACATCCTCAGTCACTGTGTGGACAGTCTGGTCAGCACCAAATTGAGACCTGAAAGTGGAATCCTAGTGTTGCTACAAGATATACTCTTGGGTTTTATTTTCTTGTGTTGTAAAACAGAGAGTAAATCTGTTGTTATCATTGATGCATACAGTAATGTTACTTTTCTGTGTTTACAGTGTGGCACCGTGGACCAGGGTTTGTATGTAAATCTGACTGAGAGAAATCTTCAAGATGCTCAAAAATTCTTCTTAATGCATGAAGTTGTTCAACCAGTTATTCCAATTCCTTACTTCATGGAAGACAACAGCCGATTTTCCCATGTCGTTGTGGACGTTGTGCAGGGCAAGGACATGCTTTTCCATATCATCTATCTTGCAACAGGTACGGTCTGCATTGCTGTGATAACTGAAAAAGTGTGTGGTGTCTATGAGTTTTAGTGTTCTGCGAATCAGTTATTAAATATGTATAATGCACCTTGAACAACAGTTTTTCCTCTCTGGCATCATTAACTCTACCTTCTACCTTTTCTGAGTAGATGCATTCTGCAGTTTGCAATGTCTTTGTTTATATTATATTGTGAACTCAAATGTTGGTGTCTGTTTTCTGTTCTCCTTTGGAGGTATGAAGCCTACATGCTCTTTAGGGAGCGAACGGTTGGAAATTCTACAAACAGAACTTCATAAGTTTCTCTGTCTCTCATTCTTTTTATGTAGCTCAGAGTAAATCTTGCCCAAGATAAGAAGGTTTATGGTCCTCTGAGACAGAAGTAACTTTACAAATAGCAAATACAATTACTGCTATTGCTATTTCTGACATATTGCCCACAAATATTTTATTATTTTCCTTTTTATCTCATTTTTAAGTCATTCATTATGCAGTTTTACACCCTGCCTTATTATTTGCCTGTTTATATGTGAGTTTAGCAATGAAAGGAAAGCAATGCTCCACCTGAAATTTCCTTGGTTAGAAATACCGCTTTCTTGATTCAAAATTTTGAGCTTCTTAAAAATAGTGAGGGTGTCCGAGAACTGTTTCTACAGAACAAGTATATCCCCAATGGAGACTGAAATACTAGGTTGGAGTAACATGTGTAGGGCCTCACAGCATAAAACTTAGGGTAGTTCTCAAATACTTAGTCCTATGCACATTAGTAGGGGATAGCTCATCAAAGCACTGGTTTGTGAATGTGCATAGTTTATCTCTCCGTGAGTAGGCACCAAATACAATAAATTT